ACATATAAACAGGCGCCATATGCTCGCTCAGAAGCGTCCGAGAAAATATGAAATTCAAACCAACTAGGCGAGTCACAAATAACACGACGTGGAATACGTAGAGTATTTAATTTAGGTAAATCGACTATTATCTCAGCCCACATCTTGCTGATTTCTGGCGTCAACTGCTCATCCCATGACAGCTTGAGCAGCCACAACTGTTGAAGAAGCATTTTCATCTTAATTACACAGGGAGATAGAAGTCCTAGTGGATCAAAAATCTGAGAAATCACAGATCACGCTTTGTTCTACCTGAGAATAGCCCTCCTATAGGGAAACAAAGTTGGTCAGTATGTGATTGCCAACCAAGGCCTAAAGTTTTAGTCGGTTCAAAGCCACCAATATTCAAATCAAGCGGAGAAATATCATTTTCACTAACCAGTTGAGATTCATTCGACTTCCACTTTCGCAAAACCATATGAGCTGATGCAAGTGTGGAAGTCACTTTACGGCGCAAATCTGTAACCTCGTTAATATCATCCCCTCCCGTTAGCAAGTCATCAACGTAAAAATCGTGAATGATCACTTGAGCAACCTTGTCATCGGTACACTCTAAGCCTAATTGTTGGAGGCACCTAGTTGCCAAAAAGGGAGCACTAGAGGTGCCGTAAGTCACGGTGTTAAGTTGATAAGCTTGAAGCTGTTCTGAAGGGTTATCACGCCAGACAATTTGTTGCAAATAGCGGTCATCGGGATGAATGACTATTTGCCGGTACATTTTCTCAACATCAGCTGTGAGAACGTATTTGTGTAGCCGAAAGCGTAAAAGAATGGACAAAAGGTCGTCCTGTACCACGGGACCTACCATCTGTATATTATTCAAGGAAACACCCGAAGAAGTCGGACTGCTAGCATTGAAAACGACTCTTAATTTAGTAGTAGTACTACTTTCCCGAAGCACACCGTGATGTGGTATAAAATGCATCTTACGTGGTAAATTATCATTCTCACATTTCTCCATATGACCCAGACTTTCATACTCTGACATAAACTCTTTATACATTTCATAGACCTGAGATTGACCTGCTACCTGCGCTCTAGCGATAGTAAACACTTTTTAGCTCGTGGCCAAGAATCACCTAATACGTCAGGATTATGTTTTAAGGGTATCCTCACGCAAAATCGACCATTTGCCAGTCGCGTGGTGTTTTTTAAAAAGTGTTCTTCGCATAATTTTTCTTCGTTTGAATAAAGAGACGCAGGGCTTACCTCTTCGAGGTGCCAGAAGCGTACTAATTGTTTTTGTATATCTTCATCTAAATCTTTACTAGCCTCATCTTGAAATATTCTTGTAAAATTACATTTAATAAAGTTAACCCCTTTCTTTACATATCTATAATCTATCGGACCTGATACTAACCATCCTAAGCTAGTTTCACAAAGAATCGGCTGACCGTCCCCTAATTTTAATCTCTGCGTTCCTATTAAGTCCCAAAAGACATCAGCACCTATAAGCATGTCAACGGGAGCAGGTGAGTGAAAATTAGGATCTGCCAGAGAAATATTAGATGGAATTTTTAAGTTTGACAAATTAACATATCTAGTAAGTACATTTTGGGTTATTGATGGTAGGACAAAACAATGAAGATTACTAGAGAAGTTATCATTCAATGATTTTATCGATACCTTACAAATCTTCTTGATGTGTGCCGAAGCATTATTAATACCGACTACCGACTGATTTACATTTTGAGCGGGCAAACCTAGCCTTTGATATAACTCTTCAGTTATTAAACAAGCGTTACTGCCACTATCAAGAATAGCACGAGCAATATATGGACAACCATTCTTACCTATAACTTTAATTAATGCCGTCGATAACAATACGTCGCCTTGTTCACTACACGATGCAGTGCCTACCTTTGCGGATAATGACAGATGTGCGTTAGAATTGGATGACAACTGTGAGCCTGTCGAACTGTTTGTTTGTTCGAAATGACCTTGCATAACGGGCTTATTATTACCACTACTCGTGTTAGATGTATTAATATCTGTAATTGGTTTTGACTGGTAATCTGCGACGTGCACGAGAGTGTTATGCTTTCGGTGGCATATTTTGCATCCTGGCTTTTTGCAGTGATTTGCATAATGTCCTGAATTAAGACAATTGAAACATACTTTATACTCTGGCAGTAACTGTAGACGCACATCGTTACTTAATCCAAGAAACTGAGGACAACTGCTTAACTTATGGTCACCCTTACATTTAGGACACAGTTTGGCGGAAAAGGCCGAACCGTTTTTATTACCGGTATCCCGCACTGAAACCATTGCCTTAACTTTTGGAGCATATTTTATAGAAGAATTTAAACGGTTAGTAGCACCAGAATTAGACATTTCTAGTGTTTCGATTAAATCGGCTCGATTATTTAAAAACATCAAAAATATATCGAACGTAATAGGTGTATCTTTCTCCAAACGACCTTTACACTCTTCCCATTCACGATATGTCTTAGCATCTAATTTTTGAGTAATAATATGAATGAGAAGTGTGTCCTATTGTTTAGTTGGCTCACCGAGAGATTCTAGTGCACGTAAATTTTTATTTATTTGGTCAATAAGACGTTTTAAGTTGACAGACAATTCTTTATTAATTGGTGCTATATTAAATAAGGCTGTCACGTGATTTTGAATTAGTAGTCTTTTATTATCATATCTATCACATAATATAGTCCATGCGACGGTGTAATTAGCTGCCGAGAATTCGATTGACTGTATTATCACAGCAGCGGGCCCTTCCAACGACGCTCTCAGATAGTGAAACTTATTTATGTCATCTATCTCGTCATTTGAATGTATGAGGCTCATGAACGTGTCATGAAACTCTAACCAATTATCATAAGAACCATTAAATTTAGGTAGTTGAATAGTGGGCAGTTTAACAAATTTATGATTGCCGGAATGAGAGCCACCGTCACTGCTTACGTCATCTGACTTAATGCAATCTGCTAAGATCCTTTTTGCAAGAGAAAGCGATTTAAAATACAGGGATTCAAAATCAGTTCGTTCTGATATCTGGGCGTCTATATTATCAGTATTACACTCGATGGATAATTGTACCTCATCATATCGTTCATACATTGACTCAATCCTACCAATACGTAATTGCAACTCATTTACCTCAGTAGCAGCCAATGAAGATACCTTCAGTGAATTTAAATAATTTGAAAAAGCTGTTATTTGTCCCTTGTAACTAGCTCGTTTCCTAATTTGCTCCTTATCTTCTGGCATGCTGGCTGGTATTGGGAGACTAGTGCAAATGCCTGAAATTTATACAAACAAGAAGTTTATATTTTATAAAATATAATTCATAAGTAGTTTTATACAATTTTGCTTACAGTTGTAAAGAAATGAAAACTAATTCCCTTACTTATTTTTCAAACTCTTAAATAATTAAACAAAATGGTACATGTACTACCTTGATATTTAACTTTATAATTAACAACAATTAAGGGTAACAAATACAATTCAGACCATCAAACAGCTGCACAGGTATGCTTTAGTATGTAATAAATAATATTATGCAATTTTTTTAATTATACACTCTCTTGACTTATTTTTTTTTTTAAAAAACAGTTTAAACCAATAAAGAGAAAAAAAAATTATAATATCGTCAATATAATTTAACTAAGCTTTATAATTTGATTTAATCATGATTTGACGGTTATTAGAAACTATATAAAACAATATTAAATGAATTTTAGCCGATTAAATACTTTAAGTTATACGTAATTATTTTATAGGTAATTTGGTACTAACCTGATAAATTAGCAGTCGATTTACACAAAATACTACCTGATAATGAGTGCTGGGTTAAATAAATTAAATAATAGTCCAATATCTAAGGGGCTAAGACTCCAGATTTCTTGGTTAAATATCTTCACTCCCTCGGTGGTATTTCCACAACGAATATTTAAGACTTCCCAAGCGTATTCCACTAAATAATATCTTGTCCAATTACGTTTTTTCAAATCCGGCTTCGATTTAGGACCATGAATAGGAAATTGATCTCTTTTTAATAGTAAAATGCTGTAATTTGCTCAATCGACCTTTACTTGATCTCTAAATTTTACAACGACGACAGGTACAACATTTTTTAAACATACCTACACAGCTTACGGACTAATATTGGCATGAGAACTGCTAATATAATTTGACAGGCGCTTCAACATAGTGTTGCGGGTGTGCATGAACCCAGCGAGATAGCCGATTTGTTTCAGCAACATTTCAGAGTAGGATCGCCCTTAAGACAAGCGCCATCACAGGTGCAAGATGTGAAGGGCCATGTCTCGGAGTTGAGTATTAGGTTTACTTCGAAGGATGTCGCTTCCGTCATTAAAAACATGGTGCCAGGAAAATCTCCAGGCCACGATAACCTCAGCATCGAGCACTTGCAGTATGCTGGAGTACACCCACCAAGAGTACTTTCTATGTTTTTTAACTTGTGTGTTGCCCATGGCTATCTCCCTGAAAAATTATTACGAACAATTGTTGTACCTATCATAAAAAACAAAACTGAAGACTCATCAGATATATCCAATTACAGGCCAATTTCACTAGCCACTATTATTGCTAAAGTTCTGGACAGTCTGCTCGACGAACAATTGAGTAAGCACTTGAAGCCTAACGATGCACAATTTGGCTTTATGCCTAAACTTTCAACAGAAAGTGCTATATTGTGCCTCAAACAGACTGTACAATATTATACAGCAAGAAAAACACCGGTATATGCCTGTTATTTGGACCTATCAAAAGCATTTGATATGATATCGTATAATGAACTGTGGAAAAAGCTACAACATGACACTAGTTTACCCCAAGAGTTTATATCTCTATTGAAATATTGGTACAATAATCAGAAAAATTGTGTGAGATGGGCTAAAACACTTTCCAAAGAGTACTTTTTAGAGTGTGGGGTAAGACAGGGTTGGTTGACCTCTCCTCGTCTTTTCAACCTATATATGACTCAATTGATCGAAGAGCTTAGTAGGACCAAAGTCGGATGTCATATTGACGGTGTATGCATCAATAATATAAGCTATGCAGACGACATGGTCTTGCTAAGCCCATCAATCGGTGCATTGAAGAGACTGATAAAGATATGTGAGTCTTACGCCGCGGCCCACGGGCTCAAGTACAACACACAGAAAAGTGAAATAATGATTTTCAAATCAGGCAGCAAGTGTTACTCACTACCAAATGTCACACTCTGTGGTAGTAGTCTGAATAGAGTTGAGAAATTTAAGTACTTGGGCCACTGGGTCACTGAAAACCTAACTGATAATACTGATATAGAGCGGGAGCGCAGGTCGTTGGCTGTCCGATGTAATATGTTGGCTCGCAGGTTTGCACGCTGCACAAAACAGTTTAAGGTTACGCTTTTCAAAGCATATTGTCAGTCCTTCTATACATGCAGCCTGTGGGTTAACTATACACGGAGGGCATACAATGATCTGCGCGTCCAATACAATAATGCGTTGAGAATTATAATGGGGTTGCCTCGGTATTGTAGCGCCTCTGGCATGTTTGCAGAGGCTCATGTTGATGGGTTTGAAGCCATAATGCGCAAAAGATGTGCCTCCATGCTGAATCGCATGCGGACGAGCACCAACATGATTCTCAGTGTACTAGCGGACAGATGGGATTCACCAATGTTAGGGCGTTGGATAAATCTGCATACTGTTAGACACGCCACGACCTAGAGTAGTATTTTTATTATAATTTTAATTTTAAATGTAATTTTATTTAATGTTTTATATTTATTAATTTTAATTTTCTTTAATGTTATAGGTATTTAGATTATAATTTATTAACAAATATGGATAATTGGTCTGAAATAAATGAATTATTATTATTATTATTATAATAATGAAAATTTTGCAATAATTGCAGCATACCAGTTTTGGTCATTTTACATGTAGATTAGTAATTTTAATAAAAACCTCAATTTTCATATTTTTGATAGACGTCACTATTATCTATTGAAATTATTAGACTTTTAAAATAAAATCACAAAAATACTGAAAAACGTAATGTTAGAATTTTTAAATAATTTAAAAATTGTTTAAAACATATAAATGTAAGTTACTTATCTTCACGCACAATCCCTGACGGGGTAGCCAGAGAGAACAGATCGCCAAGTGTCACGATCCTTACATACCTTACATACGGGCATGTATGAAGAAGATAATGAATCTGAAAGAAGCGAAAGAGGTATGTATAAATGTAAGTTATTTATATTATTTAATTTATTAATAACTGAAAGCAAAATATACTACTTCTTCCATTTGATAACGAAATCATTGTAGTTTCAAATTATTTTACAAAGGTTATGACTATATCTTAAACTTTATTTATAAATCTAGCATTTATTTGAAAAAACACTGGTAATCCCGCCTATATATATAATCATTTTGTTAAGTGAAATTATGTTTAAAAAAAAAAGTCCCGCTGGGTTTCTTGCTGGTTCTTCCCAGGACAGAGGTATTTTCCGAACCAGTGGTAAATAAAATAATGACTTTCAATAAGTATTATGTAATAATCCATATTGAATAAAAATCATTCTATTCTATTCTATAACTGAGATATAATAAAAAATTAACTACATCGACAGATATTTATTATCCTCTAAACAATAATATATTGTTGATGAATACATAAAATGTTTCTGAAATATTACTGGAGCGGCCTTATTGCATATTCCGACTGTAAGCTGCTTACACAAAATCAACGAAGAGGAATGATTTGCGATTCGCCTATAACGTCAAACGGGCAACATGGTTTTAACACGCCGATTTGATTTGGTCGATTCCTAAAGGTATACAATCCAGTATTGCGAGGAAATAAAGGATTTTCAACTGACTTCAAAAAAAAGGAGGAAATTCTTAATTCGATTGTATATTTTTTATGCGTGTTGCCTCAAAAATGTTTTCTATGTGAACTGATTTTGATTATTCTTATTTATTCGAAAGCTGGTGCTTCTCATATGCTTCCGTATAAATTTTATCAATTTCTGACCAGTAGTTATTTAGTTATCTATAATTATGCGTATTTAATTGACTTCGACATTGATGATGGTCTTATTTTATTTATATTGAAGTCGGTTGTATAAAATATTTATATTAACCACTAGTTTCTCATATAAATGTGATAGTTTTCTATTTGTTTAATTGTCAATTAGTCGAGAAATACCGACGTAAGAGAATCCAATACCACATGTATTGTGGGTGTCGTAAGAGGCAAAACTAAAGGAAAAGAAAAACTGCATTTGCCAATCAGCCAGTTAAATGTGGGCACCTTATTATTATCCTTATCACCTTATTAGATTTGGTTTCATAACAATAATGCAAAACATTTATGTAATCATTTTGTCTTGAACCTCATTTGAAAAGGTAAAGTTGCAGCCAATATACGTCCCACCGTTGGACACAGGCCACCTTTAACTTGTTAGGCGAGCGCCAAGCTGCTACAGCGCGTGTTACCAGAGTTTATAATGCTCAAAATATTTTCATTCTTTAGACATGCGAGCTTACTCACTATTTTCCTTCGCCGCCTAATACATGGTAAATCGGCGTTTAGAAATGCAATTAACAATATCAGTGGTGCCGGCGGGGATCCAATTCGGGCTGCTCGCGTAGCGTAAAACTACGGCTGCGCTTCTTCTCTAAGATACCACGACACTGTCTTGAGCTCTAACCATCAAGCAGAAGTAGACCAATGGATGAGCGATGCAATCAGAGAGCAATGATGATGATAATACTTACATACTTGTGCGATAATAAGGGAATGTTGAATATAGCAACTGGTGGGGCATGAGATAGAAACTCAAAACAAACATCACAGTTCTGTAATCTAATAGTAGGTGTATTGCTTATAATGCCTCCAGTTAGAAATCAAATATTTTGATTTTCGTTTCATACAACTTAAAGTCGTCGCATTATTAGCTGATGGTACTCCAGGCACAGCGTTGTCATGAAACCCATAACGTCCTGTTTTCGGTGAGATAACTCCAAATGTTTAAAATATGTGTGCATTTTTAACTTCATTAAAAAAAATTAAAAAAATCATTAAAGCCTATTAAAGGCTCACTGCTAAACAGGCCTTTTTCCATAGAGTACCTCAAAGGGGATATTTGTTATACTCGCTGATCATAGCTGACTGATTGACAACCGCGGTTATTTTAATTATTTGGAGCTGATAGAAGGGAGATGCCGCTACCCATCTTTTATTTCAGTTTGCCTCTGTCACTTCTTACGACACTGAGTGAATTATTTTAAACTGCCGCGCCGCTACACGGTGAATTATAGTATATTCATATTTTTATTGCCCATGTGTACCTATTTTGATGCACCTAAGCAACTTACATAAATACATACATAAACACTCACGCCTGTCACCCAGAGGGGTAGGCAGAGACTACGGACTTCCATTTGGCGCGATCCTGACACACCTCTCTCGCCTCTTTCACATCCATATATCTACGCATACACGCTCGTCGGTTAAGGGTACTCCTAATCTGGCCCATTTTCAATGTATCGCCGATCTGGTCGATAAACCTTCGTCTAGGGCGTCCCTTCCCGACCCTGCCGTTCACTTCTGCAACATAAATTTGCTTTGTCACTCTTTCCTCGTTCATTCTTTCTACGTGACCAAACCACCGAAGCATTCCTTTCTTAATCCTTGTCACAACGTCATCTTGCAAACCACACTTTTCTCTTATTACACTATTTCTCACCCTGTCATTCAGATTCAGCCCTAGCATACTCCTTAAGGAACGCATTTCTACAGCATTTATTCTACTCTCATGCTTCTTCTGCCAGACCCAACTTTCACTACCATACATTAAAGTGGGTACTAACACAGCATTTTGAATTGCCATACGTGCCTTAGTTGACACATTCTGACTCCTCACAATAGCGTGTAGAGCCCCATTCACTCTATTTCCTGCGTTCACTCGTCGTTCTATATCCTTATCATATCTACCATCCCTGCTAAATAAACATCCCAAATATACAAACTCATCCACTTGCTCAATCAACTCCCCTTCTATTCTTATTTTACATAAAGTTTTACTTTCTTCTCTTTCAAAAACCATCACTTTCGTCTTACTTGCGTTCACTTTCATACCCCTTTCTTTCAATGAACAATTCATTAAAGTAACCATCATTTGCAACTCGGCCGCCGACGATGCAAATATGACTTGATCATCGGCGTACAAAAGGCATTTGACGGTTGACTCACCCATTCTCAACCCACATTCCTCAACTTTCAAAGTTTGCAAACAACTGTCCATAAATAGGTTAAACAGCCACGGGGAAGCCACACATCCCTGTCTGACACCTTTATGAATGCCAAACCAGTCCGAGTAGACCCCGTTGATCCTGACACAAGCACTAGAGTCCCTATAAAGAGACCTTAATGCCTGTATCAAGCCAGCGCTCAACCCAAATGAGTTCAGTGTTTGCCATAACACGTTCCTGTCCACTCTGTCATAAGCCTTTTCCAAGTCCAAGAACGCACAAAAAACTTTCTGGTTTTTAGCCAAAAACTTCTCCGCTATCATGCGCATGGAAAAGACTTGATCCGTACACCCCATCCCCTTTCTAAATCCAGCTTGCACATCCCAAATTTTTCCATCAGTTTCTTCCATAACTCTTTCAATTAACACCTTAGCATACAGTTTACCCACAATGCTAAGCAAGCTGATACCACGGTAGTTTTTACAGTCCTGCTGCGACCCCTTTCCCTTATATATTGGGACTATAACGGCTTTGCACCAGTCTTCCGGTACCCGTTTCAGTTCCCAACATAAATTAAACAAGGTGTGCAGCAGGCCTGCAACCACACCCTCACCAGCCCTTAGCATTTCGAGTGATACTCTATCATATCCGGCTGCCTTACCTGCTTTCATGCTTTTCATTGCTTTCATTATTTCATCTACACTTATCTCCCTACCTCTCTCCACTTCTTCCGGAATTTCTATTTCACTTATTTCAGACGACTCTTCACTCTTAAACTCGCTTTCAAAGTATTCCTTCCATCTCTTTAAATTCGAAACTTCACCATTCAGCATGCAGCCAGCAACAAGCAAGCAACTTATATTTGATATTAAATTATCATTGTCTGTGCCTAAAAAAGTTCATAAATAACCACATAGTTATAATAAACAATTACCAGCACTTGCAATGCTGTATTCCGGTCTGAGAAATCCGGTATAAACAGACTGTGTGTGCATTCAATCTTAGTTCTCAGAGGTAACAATGAAACTGCATCTTTCTTTCTTTAAATTTAGTTGTAATTGTCCATGGACTACAATAAGCACTTACTACCATCAGGTGGACTGTAAATTTGATTGTCGCTTCAATTAAAAAAAAAGCAATTTGAGAATCTACCTAGAATAGTCTGAGTGAGCATTCTGTGTAAATAATTAAAAAAATCTGCAATTACCTATTCCTAAAATATATTCATATAATAATGTTCATTGAAATATAAAAAGGAAACCAACTTTCACTTTCACACATATTTACCAACTTTCACACATATTATATATATATAAGGTATATTATTGAGGATTTTCAAAATAAACCACATTTTTGTTTTATTTAACACGCCTTTACAATATTACAACAATTATCATGACAATTACACTTCTATCTCACCTGAAAATACAAAGAAACGACATTTAAAGTTTACTAATATCGCT